GTGTCCAGCAATGTCTCGGGGGGGTGGAGGGGGACTGGGAGGGGGGCAAAGAGAACTAGACAGGACAGGCGTGATCAGAGAAATGTGAAAAACAGAATGAATCTTTAAATGATCAGACAGCTTGAGGTGAAAAAAAGAGCGACTGAGCACTGCCTTGATTTTAAATGGACCCATGAATCTGGGAGAGAGTTTGTGACTAGAAATCTTTAGGTTAATGTCATGAGCTGACAGCCAAACCTTTACTCCAGGTGAGAACCGGGGAGATGAAATCCATCTCCAATTGTCAAGACGACTATTTGTTTCAACTGATCGGTTCAAGGCAGAAACTGTCAGGTTCAAGAACGGTCTGCAGCGCAGAATGTGGTGTTTGACAGAGGTAACTGCAATGTGGTTAATATTCTCAGTCAACAGTCATACCAAAAACGTTAAAAAAAACAATCCACTGGACATTGTTTCCAAGTTTGAAGACATTTCGTTACCCGTCAAGGAAGCTTTTTCAATTCAAAATGGACACTGGTGGTAACAGTTAACAGCAGCCTTGTTTATGTCATCGAGCCCCAGGGCAGCTGTGGCTACAATGTAGTTTACCACCATCAGTGTGTGAGTGTGTGCCTGAATGTGTGAATGTAGTGTAAAGGGCTTCCTTGAAAAAGCGCTATATAAGTACATGCCATTTACCATTTTTAAAAGAGATTCACAAGAACACAAATTTCAACAAGAATGATAATACTGGTTTAGGTCTTTGGCTGGAATCCCATCAGGGGTAATCATCGGGCAAAGAGAGATGATTGTTCGCCTCCTTGTGTACACAGTCGTCATCTTCATTGAGGAATGTTCTCAGTTGTGCAGCAGAATGGGTTGCTCATCCACAAGCAAAGAGCCTCTCTGTGATAGGAAACTCACTCACACCAGAAGGAAGATGAACAAACTTCTAAGGTATCTAGCTTGTGCAAGTAGTCGCTTTCAAAATTTTTTACAGTAACTGCCTGAATCTGGAACAACACAGGATGATACAGTATAATGGCATCTCTTCAATATATTGTGATAACTTCTAAATTTTAGTGACAAAAAGTTGACAAAATGAGTGAGGGAAGACAACTGCTGCTTGTTTATTTGTGGTGCTCCTGGAAATGCCCCGCCCCACCAACTCTACATTGTTATGTTTGATTGCAGATGTTTAATTACAGCAGCAGTTTTACAGTAAACGATGATTGCAAACCACCAAATTTTTAGTCATACCATTAAGAAAGAAAAGCAAAAAAAAAAAAAGAAAAGACTGACCTCAGGGATCCTCAGAGTGTTTTAGACAAGAATATACAACTCCAAACACAACATCTGTTTGTTGAAGAGACATGGATTATCTAAATTGTGAAACATTACACTGTTAGAATCCCCTTATTTATCTCTGTGCTGATGTCCATTGCATCTGCCAAGTTTTCCTTTTTCTGTCAGCAGCTTCTTTGTTATGTTTGTTTTAATAATTATTCAGCAACACAAGCAAAACACATATACAAATAAAATCCTTTGTTTTTTAATCTGTATTGGTTTGGGAAGATTTTCTGCAATCAGAGAATACCTTAAATGATCAAAGACCATAGAAGATAACGGTAAAGAGAAAAAGGTACATGTAGCAGTAAACCCCATAAAGACATGTTAAACAACTGCTGCAAAGTCCTTTTAGAACATCCCTTCAAAATAACTATTATTAAACATGTTCTGACCTAATGGAAAACTGGTTTATACCAATGATTCGGGTAGCATGTCTGCAGTATATGATATGTTTGGGTCCAAAACGTCAGAACATAGCGAGACTCTAACTATGAAAAGTGACAAATATTAAAATTTGCTTTAATTATTGCTGATTGTATCTGAAATTATAGATCGGTACATTGGAAAACTTTATTTAAGGGATTCCAGTTTCCTTAAAACAAACGTTAATGTAAAAAAAAGTGTGATTTATTTATTATGTATTGATATATTTGTATAACTTTTAACAGAGATCTCTTCTCCAATAAAGACAAGAATGATAGAGTTATCGGGTTTTATTGATTTTACATGAAAAGTTAGCTTCTTATTTTCTTCAATCTGTTTTGTATTAACAAAAAAAATAAAAGCTCTTCTTTTTGCTGTTGAGACATTTCCTGGAACCGTTACAGCAGATAATATTCCCCCCAAAAATAAAAGTGTGTCTTGGAAATGTTTGGGGATGCAACAAGAGGACAAGTACCTGCATATATGCAGTCAGTCTTTCAAAAAGAAAAAAAAAAAGAGCATCATGGCTCTGATATCGAAATTCCTTTTGGATGAAGATTGATGCTATGTTTAGCAGGATAATAAAGAAGAAGATGGATTATCCATCCCATTGGCCCCATCTGAAAATGAATCCACACCCAAAGTCTGGAAAGTTGCGTTCTTAATATATATAGGTGACTATTTAAGCTGTCCACACTCTACAGAACTCAATGTAGTAACAGCAGTGAAAACAATGTGTGTGTTTGGAGGGTGGATTCGCTTGTGAAACTAATCTCTGGTCTTTAAATTTCCACCAGTCCTGCTATTCAGTCATGAATCTTACCCTCCCCCCATATCCTCATAAATCCAAAATAGGCTGTTTGTAATCAATGTTTACAGGGTAGTGAATTAAAATGACTCAAAACTATTCAGCAAGATGTTTTGAACAACATTTCCTAACCGTCTTTACTGTGCAAACATATTAAAGCAAAATATACTGAAAAGCATTGCATATACATAAATGTATAAATAAAATAAATAAATAACGGCACATTTTTCTATCAGGTTGTTCTGGTAGGATTCAACAAGTCAAGCTGTGGCTAAAATTATTCTTATATATATTTTTTGACTTCCCACCGAGCAATTGACCTTATTTTCGATATTGAGGCTAGTCTTTAGATAGGAGTCGTTAGATCCTGATTTAGACCATTACATTGTGTTCAGGTTTGGATTGGATGAGGCCGACTGCCTCATCTAAAAATGTTCAAAGATGTTGATTTTTTGTGTGTAGAAATGGCAGTTAAAGCTTCTCTCTTAATTTGAACAAATTTCTTCCTTGGCTGGGTTATGGCAGTAAAAGTATATTCAACCAACAAATGTACTTGTCTTGTTGTTTAAGAGCAAAAAATCTGAAACAAGATTTGTAAATATATTAAGGTATCTGTAATTAACCAGCAGTTGTAAACAGCACGCATGTAATCTAAAGCTATAGAGGAGGCAGTCTCTGGGGACAATATGCTTCCTAGAGCCTAACACCAGAGACAGAGTTCAGTTCAACCAATTTAAACTAACATACCTTGATAGTCGATATGTTCAATGGTACTGTATGGTTTTACCCACCTTGCAGGCCAGGGAGCCCAGGAACTCCAGGGACACCTATTTGTCCGATGTCCCCCTTTTCTCCTTTAGGGCCTGGAGGTCCTGCGCAGAGAAGTAAATATAAAAAAAGCTGTACTCTATCAATAGTTTATACAATGTACAGATGTGGTGCCTAACAGAGACTCAGCAGTTACATTTATGGTCAGGGCAAGTACCAGTTAGTGATATGACACTATACCAATGTTTTAGAAAGCATTTAAACCATACTATCTGTGATGTCTGAATAAATCTATTAGATACCAGAGAAAGTGTCAAAAGTTATGCACATTTTCTCCGGTTGAATTGAGTTAAGCAGCCCTGATCGCTAGCCACCTTTGTAGCAATCACTGTCATTCAGCTAGCTGAGGAAAGCTCTTTCACATTTCCTTTGTGTACAAGATAGCTGCTTAGAGATATGAAATAACAGTATTGGTGCTGGAAGGATATGAGAGCTGCCCATTACTCTTGTTAAAGCAACACTGTTTTTAACACACCTGGTAAGCCATAGTCTACAGAGAGTAATTTAATCATCAAAAAGGGTTTATCATGAGAAGGATACAAAAAATGACATTCTATGGCATTGGCAATACTGGTCACCACAGAGATGACAAACCTGGAAGGCTGCCTAAAGGCCTACAGCAACAACAAAGTAATTTTAATAATTTATGTTGTACTAGATGTGTAGCATGTGCTGGTGAAGTTTCTCAGTCATCCAGGTCATTGTCATTTCAAAAAACTTAAAAAAAAAAACCAACCACTGGACTTGTTTACCAAGTTTGAAGATGTTTCGCTTCCCATCCAGAAAGCTTTTTCAATTCAAGATGTCTGGAGTAGTGTTGAGTTCCAGGCTTATTGGGTAGCCTAAATTAAAGCCTGGCTTAGAAAATATTCTAATTGAACCGAAAAACAGTAAATGATACATGTGTAGAACACGCATCAACAATGTCCTGTATGGTTTAAGTCTAGAGAATGGTATAGGCTGTCAAGATGAATAAATTTTCTTATCAAGAAAAACTGTTAAAAGAGACAAATCTAGCAAAAATACACTCAATTATTACAAAAGCAAGAGGAAGAATATGTTCTGGCCTAAGGGATGCCTATGTACTGTCATCATTGGGTTGGCACCAATGTCCTACCATCATTGGGCTGGTACCTATGTCCAGCAGTCATTTGTCTGGTGCCTATGTCCTGCAATTATTGTCTAAAAAGCTGGATACACCCTGAACCAGAGGCCATTTCCTCATAAAGTCACAGAGTGACAAATACCAAACACACATGGATGCACACTTCTGAGGGTAATTCACACATACATGGGCAAAAGGTCTAAACTCTATGTAAAAAAGACAATCTGGGGTTCAAACTCAAGATCTTTTTGCCTCAAAGCATCACCATGCAACCCCTGTCTCCAACAGTTATTGGGTGACATGCAAGGTACACCCTGGAGAACTCGTCAGGCCAATTAAATTACAATGATAAGTATAGAACATAACAGAAAGCTTCTAACCCAAGCCATCTGGACACACTAAGGCCCCAAACCTTTCATAGGTACTGACCATAATTTAATTCATATAGTTAAACTCTATAGATCATTGCATTTATTTATAGCTGTAATAACAAGCAGAGAAACATTGCTGCTAAGTGAAAGTCACACTGGCCTACAGATTCAGCCAAGCATTTGTTGAGAGACTTGGAGAGGAGAGGAGCCAAATACCCAGAGAACAAGCAAAAAAGTCTGGCCACAATTAAAACCACATGTTTAACAACCACAGCACAGCTTAGGGGAATACTCAGAAATTCAAGACTTGTTTTTGTGCAGTTAGTTATCATCCTTTAGACCTGTTATTTGCATGTTTCAAGACCTGCATTGGTTTCAAATACAGACCTTCCAGCAGCTGTCTTGAGCAACGTTGTAACTGTACACATGTTACTAACATGAACAGGTCCCTGAGACTGGCAGGAAGCCACACAAATATGACAGTGTATACCACTGCATTTTCATATTATTTAACAACTGGGAGGACACAGACAAGAAAAGGGAATATTCCTGCAAGTTTTCACCACAACCTATCATGAACCTTGCGTGTCAGAAAATGATGAGAGGGGTACCCTCAATGCGTCTAATACTGTCAGTATCTGTGACTAGTTGGGAGTGAGACTGTATTGTAATATCTGAAGCTCCAACATTATTTAAGAGCATCATTTAATCTCTGATTCAAAGATGGAAATGTATGTCCACAAACCTACAGTCCCAGGACATCTCCATCCACATACACTAACAGACTAGGCAAGAATAACATAATTTATAGAAACATCCCAGAATATCACAGTAACTCTGGAGAAGCTACAGGGTCTTACAGCTCAGACAAGGGATGCAACTATTGGTTGTGCTCCACAAATGTAAGTATTATGGAACAGTGGCAAGATGAAAGTTTAACCTAAGTGATAAACAGTTCGGTTTGCTTTTTACAACAATGTATGCAAGTAAAACCAATGTTCAAATATGACAAAAAAAACAAAACACATGAATGAGACACTAAAGATGACTTGAATATCTTGAGACTTTTTGGTAAGATTCTGTGGCAGTCAAAACAAACAACTTGAGGGAATGTCTTGCAGCTTTGTATCATGACACATAACCTGTGGCAGTAAATGAGTCAGAAAAAAGTGAAGCAGCTTGATAAAAAAAAGCAACAACAGAACCAAAGCAGGCATGTAGAGAGTAAAGGGGAAAGGAGAATAAACAGATGTAGTACTTTTTTGGCATAGGTGACGCAGACTTACAGTAATCACAGCTAAATGTAGCCAGAGCTAAGACTAATAACAAAGCTGATTAGAGTTTTCGTTCTGGGTATAGCTCTGAATTTAATCCACAATTGTTTGCAGGCTGAGGAGAAATGCCATCCTAACAATATGTAGGGCGGTCCCAAACTTCTGAGGTACAAGTTGGTTCTTTGGACAGTGTCCCCTGCCAGCATTACATCATGGCATACCTTTTAATTTTAACAAGCCAAAGAACCACTTTTTTTACACTGGCAGTGGGAAATGCACTGCATCTGGAGTAATCATGTTTGAGCAGATTGGAAGGGAAACACAGAGAGTTGCTTAAAACTCCAGCGTTATAATCCCAAAATGTAAAGTGAAGTTGCATGCCAGCATCACTTGCAGTCAGTCAGACTCCAAATATGGCTCAGAGGAGCTGTTGGAAAAGATCCTTCCTCCAGCACTGAGGTCCTTTCCATAGAGAGCCATTAAACTAAGAGCTGACATTATCATGTTCTAACAATGGATGTCTAACTTTTTTAAATGTTACATTAAACAGCAGCACACATCAAACACTTTAAGTACTTTAGACTGATATTTATCATAGAGAAGACTTGATGTTTTAGAGTTCATCTAAAAGCTAAGATGTATATTCCTTTTAAACATTAAAAGCAGGCCTGAGGTTTGCAGGATTATTTAGAGAAAGGGCTTCCTGTGAGGGCACAAATGCAATTTACTCAGCTGATTTGCTAAGATAAAAGTCTGGGAAGTCTCAGAATGAGCCTGTGTCTCACACAGCATGCAAATCTCTGCATAACTGATTACATAGGAGTTTTGCTGGTGATAGTTGTTTCAATACACTTCCTCTCACATATTTATTAACAATAGGGGGAGGCACATATGTAGAAGTCTTAAAGACTGCTTAATTAAGTTGTAAGGTATTTAGGAAAACCAACTTTCTGGTGCCCCAAACAAAATACTGACCTTGGATAAAGTTGTATGGATGAGGAGAAATATGTCACCACTGACAGATAATGTCTAAAAGGGTCATAATTTAAATCTGCCAAATGATTTAACTCCTAGAGTGCACAGGGAACTTAATAAAGACCTTCTTTGCTTGCATCAGCCAACTTTTATTATGACATGGTTTATTGAAGCAGCAGCTTATCTGCAGCTGAGAGGAAGCTGTTGAATAAGCTCATTAGGAAGGCAGCTGTGTCTCAGCATGTCCATTGGACATAGGGCAGGTGGTACGAGACAGAAGGACATAAAACAAAAAACACAAATGGTGTACAATCTCTCCCATCCCATGCATGAAGTTCTTAAAGAGCTGGAGAGCACCCATATCTTAGATGCATAAAGGAGCCCTTTCACAGATCCTTTTTTCCAGCTGTTAGACTTAATAATCTGCGCCGCTCCCATGAGGCCTAATGCATTTTTACAACCCTGCTACTGGTTGTAAAGGTTGTTGGTCTGATAAAGAGTTATTTGCACTGTTTCTGGTTCGCTTAATAAGCATCTTACTGATGTTCATTACCACATATGTTAATGATCACAGATGCAGTATTTTTTACCTGTTATGAAATTGTTTTTTTCTACTATCATGTCTTATAAAGTTCTTTTTTTCCTATGATCCAGCTTATTGCACAATTTTTCAACCCTTCTACGAATTTTCTTTTACAGTTTTCATTTTTGCCAGAATGTGCCCTTTTATTATTATTAATGGTACAGTATTTGTTTTCTTTCAGATATGTGTATTTTAACCTCTGCTTAACTTTTAGACAGTTTTTCTGTTTCATACTATTTAGTAAGTACTTGTAAGATTTTCTCCTTCCTACTCTATTGTAAGTGTCAAACCTTAAGTGTGTGGGATTATGAATAGAAGTCTTTGGCCTAACTGCCCTTCCAAAGGCACTCTGAACCTTGGGACCCATAAGCTCTTTGAAATATCAAGAAATTCTGTTTGAAAAATGTTTCTCTGTTTTGCTAGAGGAAATCCATCCAAATCATATTGCTGAGTTAATACAGAAACTATTGACCAGCAATAAAATCAACCTTCTCCTGTGGTCATCTTAGTTTTCAGAGCATAAAATACAACCGCTAAGAAGAGCTGAGGAGCTGACAGCATTTCAGATCACCTGCTACTTTTAAAGACTGTGTATATTCTGCTATTGCACCCTGTTAACTGTATTCTTTATTAAACATCACGCATCCTAGAACAGTCCATCTATGTAACTGAAATGAATTAAGATGGCAGAACAACCTATGTGCCAGCTTCTGTGCTTTAAATATACTTTAATTGTAACGTTTTTTTCTGCTCCTTGGTGACTAAGATATACTTGACGTATGTTTTAACATCTCTATTGCTGTTGGAGATGTAATGCTGTTATGCTCTTTGCTCTTATGTCATAAACAGACTTCTTTAACAGGACTTAAACTCCAGTTTCTATGGTGCTCAACAAACAGACTGAAAATAAAGCAAAGCCCTCTAATGAGCTCAAGGTTTCATACTTCTCGATAACGTAAGGGTGTTTTGCTTCCAACTTTAGAACAACTTGCTATTTTTATACCATGTCAATATTCTGTTTAATTTACTCTTACTGCTTCATCTTATATTCTAAACAGGATAAAACCTGTAGTCTTAACCAATGTTTATGTCATCCTATTTACCTTCCAGCATCGTGAGGTTCTTCAGGGTCATGGATTGCTCCCAGTCCCTCAGACGGAGGTCCTCCGTTATTGTGCTCAGGATCTCCATCTCGCTCCTCAGCTGGGCCTCTGTGTGGATGTGTTTTCCCCATAAACTGCTGGTGTCCTCTGTTATGTTGATGATCTGTATCTAAACAGATAGAGTGCAAAATGGAGGATGTTAAAGTTATCATCAGCAGTTTTATCCACTGTCATGTTGTCTAAGAACTGGTGAAGCTCAAACCTGTAAGTCATGTATTTTAAGGTGATGTATGTTGATGTCATTGGTGAAGGTGTGATTAACAGCTCCAACAGTCCAGTTGACTTCATCTAATTTCTCTCTGAGCCCATTCAAATGACCTGCTGTCTCCCTGAAATACAACCAGGAATTACTAGGATTGCATTGTTTAAGATTTTACCTTTTTCGAGCTGTAATATAACATTCTACCTCAGAAGAACGTCATGGTCATGAAGCCACCTGGAGGTTCGGGCCACGTCCATACTTAAACCTGTCAGGTTCCTGCCAGCGGAGGTGCTGAATGAGGACAACCTGTCGTCCAACTGTACCAAGTAGCCTTCTGACTGAAGGGAGTTAGCCTGGATGTTGCTCAGCTCCACCTCCAGACCCTTTAGGGGAGAGGATTTAGCTGATTCTCAAGGTTAAAACAAGATTTTTTATGACAACGTTCAATAGAATTTTTCACAATGGAAGATGTTCCTACAGATGTTAGGCTTTAAGTAGGAACTTGGAAAAAAACACTTAAAAGAAATTTATGAAATGCCAGAGAAATGTATGGATGTTTGTATGGAGAAACACAAGTTATAAAATAAAGGAGAAAAAAAACAACAAAATTTAAAATGTAATCACCTACTATTGAACCAAGTAACACCCGAGTTTATTTTTTACTCTAAACCATCCAACCAGTTAAATCAAATCAACTCTTTATCAGACCTGCTGAATCTAATAAACCTGCATTTCATTAAAATTTGAATTTGATTCCAAGCGTAGGCTTCATTTTAAAATAAACTGTTTAACTGCTTTAAACACAGCAAAGCTTTTTTTCATTACACCATAAAGGATCTGCTCTGCATAACGGTCTCTAGAGCAGACCACTCATGAAATACAAGAGTGAGACAAAATTCCAGGTTTTTGCTGATAAAGCTATAAAAGGTATAAAAGAGGAAAATTCCCAAGCTGCATTCCTCTGTGAAGTGACTGAGGAAAGTTCTAGAAAGCAATGCAAATCCATTCTTTAAACAATTTTTGCTTAGATAAACACAAATGCAGCAATGTATGTAAACATTTCTCCTTTGTTTTGACAATTTGAATCAGAATCTTTCAAATTTTAATCAGTACATTTGGCTTTCTGATGCTCTTTGAAAGTTTTCTGGAGAAACTTGGCTACTTTTGCACATATTTTTTTATCCAGTCCTTATTTCTGACCCTAGCAAAACATAATATTGTTTATCGCAGGCATGAAATAATAGAAAAATTGACAAAAGGAAAACAAAACAATAATTGGTGGGCCTAATAAACTAAGTAAAGTGGTGCCAATTTTGCTTTAACTGCTGATCAATTTAATCAGTAAAATCACGCAGATGAGACGATACAAAAGCCATCCCAAAAGCTCTATATTGCTGGTGTTAAATACCAACAAGTTACCATGTTAGCACTTTTATAGATTTAGCAACGGAAATTGAATGCAAAGGGAGATATAAATCTTGAATGACTTTCATAAAGCTCAGAAAACGCACAGATCATTATAACCCGTTTAAGAGAGTATAAAAAAGAAATCTGGATGCTTGGAAGCAAAATACGTAAAAATGTGGAATGACCCTAAAATTTTGCACAGTTCCCTAAATCTTAATTTAGCAATAGCTCATCAGTGTTCATTTGTTAATATAAATGTTGAATGTTGAAGGGGTGCAAACATCCTGCTCGAAACAAGTACATTGCTGATCAAACTGGATACACCTAGAACTCAATCCTTTTCACTTGTGTAACCATCTTCTCGGCCTATGCTAAAAGCTTATAAGAGAGAACATGGTAAAATACAAAGGTTTCTGATGCTATATGTTACCTTGATGAGGATCTCCAACTTCTGCAGCCAGTTGCTGTGGTTCTGAAACATGTTTTCCAGTTTCCAGATGTTTTCCAGGAGGTCAGCCTGAGTGGATCCCTCACCCAGGGTCTGCTGGAGCACGTTAGAGTGCTCTGACATCCGAGTCACATTCTCAGTCAGCACCTCCTGGCGCTGTGAAGACACCTGGGATCGGGAAACTGGGGAGAGACAGAAAAAAGATGAGTGACTGGTCCATTTTGAGTAACAGCAAAATTCCCCAAATCATGTTTCATTTAGTATCAATAACAACTGAGAGTGTGGAGTGAGCCAGCGCAGTAATGTTGAGCAGATGTCAGTTTAATTGCCTGGGTTGATTTTAGTTGTTTGCTCCTGCTATGATGCATTGTTTTCATTTTTATTATAATGATTATATTTTATCTTCACTTTGGTTAATGTTTGGTTTGGCTTCAAGCATCTGGTCAAACTGTGCCTCCAAAACCAAATAGTTTGCAAGAACTGATACACATTTTTTCTTAATTTTATATTTTTCTTTGATTTATCCTAATTTTTCATCTTTTTGCAGTTTCGTAT